ACTATGGGGGCGGGGGATGTTAGGGTCGCCATGTTCTGCCAAGGCTGGCTCTTCACAGTTTGTGTTGGGGCCTTCGTTATGATTGTTCCTTTAAAGGGTACATTGAAAATTTGTTCATAAAGGAAATGTTCCTCTGTTACCAGGGCATTAAACCTCATCAGTATCCTTTGTCTCAGTCATGTGTAGTTTATCACCTGACTTACTGTGTTAAGACAGACATGTCAATGTTACAAAATGTTATCTCTTTTCCGTTGATTTTAGTTTCACCAAATCTTTTCAGATGTAAGACAAATTATTTGTCTTTCATGTCATTGGAATAGAGAATATATTTTACTCACATGAAAAAATTGGGTGTTCTTTTACTCTTTACTCCAGTCAGTTTATCATGGCTGGTGGGTATTGCAACACACAGCCTTCCAAATGTGGTCATATTGATCAACCAACGTTGATAACTGTGGATGACTCCTTGATGGAAGGCTTGGAGTCATCATGACTCCTGGTTTGAAGGCTTGGAGTCATCATTACTCCTGGTTGAGAATACTTGGGGTCATTATGACTCCTGGTTTGAAGGCTTGGAGTCATCATTACTCCTGGTTGGAAGGCTTGGGGTCATTATGACTCCTGGTTGGAAGGCTTGGAGTCATCATGACTCCTGGTTGGAAGGCTTGGAGTCATCATGACTCTTGGTTGGAAGGCTTGGAGTCATCATTACTCCTGGTTGAGAATACTTGGGGTCATTATGACTCCTGGTTTGAAGGCTTGGAGTCATCATTACTCCTGGTTGGAAGGCTTGGGGTCATTATGACTCCTGGTTGGAAGGCTTGGAGTCATCATTACTCCTGGTTGGAAGGCTTGGAGTCATCATGACTCTTGGTTGGAAGGCTTGGAGTCATCATGACTCTTGGTTGGAAGGCTTGGAGTCATCATTACTCCTGGTTGAGAATACTTGGGGTCATTATGACTCCTGGTTTGAAGGCTTGGAGTCATCATTACTCCTGGTTGGAAGGCTTGGGGTCATTATGACTCCTCGTTGGAAGGCTTGGAGTCATCATTACTCCTGGTTGGAAGGCTTGGAGTCATCATGACTCCTGGTTGGAAGGCTTGGAGTCATCATTACTCCTGGTTGGAAGGCTTGGAGTCATCATGACTCTTGGTTGGAAGGCTTGGAGTCATCATGACTCCTGGTTGGAAGGCTTGGAGTCATCATGACTCCTGGTTGGAAGGCTTGGAGTCATCATGACTCCTGGTTGGAAGGCTTGGAGTCATCATGACTCTTGGTTGGAAGGCTTGGAGTCATTACTCCTGGTTGGAAGGCTTGGAGTCATCATGACTCCTGGTTGGAAGGCTTGGAGTCATCATTACTCCTGGTTGGAAGGCTTGGAGTCATCATGACTCTTGGTTGGAAGGCTTGGAGTCATCATGACTCTTGGTTGGAAGGCTTGGAGTCATCATGACTCTTGGTTGGAAGGCTTGGAGTCATCATTACTCCTGGTTGGAAGGCTTGGAGTCATCATTACTCCTGGTTGAGAAGACTCGGGGTCATCATGACTCCTGGATGAGAAGACTTGAGGTCATGATGACTCTATGTTGGGAAAGGTCAGGAAAGTAATAATGGAATTAATATGCAGTTCCTCACATTTGAAACCTCTCATGAGTACTTCTGTTCCAGTTCATGACACCTCAGTGGGAAATCACTGAACAAAACCCTACAGTATGTCATTTTATAAATGTTATAACGTTTGATTTTAATTTGATACAAGGCTATAAAGACCTTGCAATTCTTTTGCCGCTTGCATCTCTGCATGGAAAGTCCATAAAACAGGCAATACAACTGTTCTGGCTCAGACAACCATGTCTATTTAAATCAATGGAGGAAAGAAGAATTGAATCTGTACCGCAGAAGACCAGGGGAGATCATTCATTGTTTGTGGGTGCAAATAGGCTTTGTTGTGAGCCAAGTTCCCCTTGTACTACTACTACTACTACTACTACTAATTCTAATACTACAGTTACTACTACCACAGTTACTTCTAAGTATTTCACATCAACAATGGGAAGCTGGTATTGCCCAGTGGTTAAAGTTTTGACTCACGATGACAAAGAGCAGGCTTTGATTCCTTGGGTAAAATGTGAGAGGCCCATTCTTGGTGAGCCCCTCTGTGAGTTTTAGCAATATTCCATCAGTATCACAGGGATAGGGGGACATTAGAAATTGGCTTCACACATTGTTCTCAGTGGGGATTTGAAACCAGCCTTCCACATGACGGGCGAACACTTTAACCACTGGACCACTCCACCACCCTCATTAGGGAGAAGACCTAATACTTAGAAATATGCCTCAATATTCAATGGTCATTACCTTGAAAGTGAGTGTTTGCCACTTTGATGACACATTCAAACACCAAAGGATCTTAGGTGGTGTGAAACGGAGACGCCTACCATGAAGAGCAGATTCTTCCTGGCCATGACAAAGGGATGCAAACTCTGTAATACCATGACTAAGGGATGCAACTCTGTAATATCATGACTAAAGGATGCAACTCTGTAATACCATGACTAAGGGATGCAACTCTGTAATATCATGACTAAAGGATGCAACTCTGTAATACCATGACTAAGGGATGCAACTCTGTAATACCATGACTAAGGGATGCAACTCTGTAATACCATGACTAAGGGATGCAACTCTGTAATACCATGACCAAGGGATGCAACTCTGTGATACTCTGACTAAAAGATGCAACTCTGTAATATCATGACTAAAGGATGCATGTCTGCACAGAAAATTGCAATACCTAAAATCACACGGGCCACCAGTTCATTTTTATCTTCAAAAAATAATCATTCCAACATTAACGAGTGCGTGAGTGAGTTTGGTTTAACACCGCTTTGAAGTGTATTCCAGCTATGTAATGATGTGTCAGCTTGATGTGGGAGGAAAGCCTGAAGTGATGCAGGTCTCAGATGTTAACCACTTCAGTGAAACCCACGAGGAAGGGTTGAAACACAACACTTTTCCTCTGCAACATTAATTTTGTACAAGTTCCTGATGTATGAGGGTCATATTGATCAACCAGCGTTGATAACTGTTATACTTTTGTATATGCAGGATGTTATACTTTTTGTATGTTTTGTATATAACATATTGAGCATTAACTATTATTCAGCTACTACTTTTATCATGAATCCAAACAAATTGGGGAGGCTTGGAGTCATTATGACTCCTGGTTGGAAGGCTTGGAGTCATTATGACTCCTGGTTGGAAGGCTTGGAGTCATTATGACTCCTGGTTGGAAGGCTTGGAGTCAAGCGCAACTACTGGTTGAGAAGACTCGGGGTCATCATAACAACTGGTTGAGAAGACTCGGGGGCATCATGACTCCTGATTGAGTCATTGATCCTGGTTGAAACACAACTGGGGTGAACTGGACAAAACTAATGACATTACAGAAAAAGTAAATTCCCTCAATAATAAGATGGGTTCTTCAAGTAGGCATATTGCAATAAAGTACAGGCAGAGCTAGGGAAGGCAATCTGTAACATAAGAATGGACATTGGTCAATATATCACATCCTCTTGTACTGAATCCCTTTCAGTGTGTGTACTTGTACTTAAGCTATTGATCTATTTAATAGTATCAGTAGCTCAAGTAGATTAGCAAACATTAGATTGGAATTCCAGTTGGAAGTTTTCAGAATGAGAAAATTGATATTTTTTTCTTCATAATGAGGTTATTGTTTTCTGTTTAAGACAAACATTAGGTTGCTTCAAAGTCCTTTGTTTTCCATTTCGATTTTTTAAGAATGAAAAAATTGACATTTTCTTCATGGTTAAGTTTGTTGATATGTTGCTTCAAATATCAGCCCGAATTTTTAATTAATAATATCCTTCATCATGAAAGTGTGGCTGATGTTTGATATATGCTTTATTAAGATGTCATGATAACATTTTCAGTTTGTGGCATCGACAGAAAAACTCATTATTCTTAGGAAAATAAGTAGCTTTGCTTTGTTGTCATAAGGCAAATAGCAGCATTTGCTGAAAACAGTCACCTGATGGAAACAAGCTTTTGAATGACTGCAGTGTTCAGGATGGTAGTTTGTTGTGCAGTTGGTGTAAGTGGAAAACCACATCGGAGAAATAAACATGCTCAAAAGGTGTTTTGTCATGGTTCCCTAGGTTACTGTTTTGATGTATATGGAATGCGAATATTGCATCCTGGGTGAAAAATGGTGTCTTTGGCAAGTCGAAGCATTATTAGATTGGATTCATGTGTGGGTTTCAGCATGATGGGGTACCGGAAAAGTATGCGAGGAAAGCAGAAAGTCTAATAGTGGAGCTAATACGCTCATGGCGCCGGCAACATTACCAAGTAACAATTTCTGCAACAGGTTGTAAAATAAAAACATGGCGGTGAGAAATATCATCCAATTTGTGATCTCCCTAACATGATTAGGAAATATTCGTATAACAGATGCAAGAATGAATTACTTTGAAGAAAACAGGATCAAATTGTTGGTATTATTTTCTGGTAAAGAGACATGCATATTATTCCACAAGATAATGTTCATGTATTAAATACATCCTGCCAGTACAGCATGTGCAGCCCTCATCATTAATCCATGGTAGCTTACAATATTTTCAGTCAACTGAAGCTGCTTGCAGTAAATGTTTAAATCTTAATGACACAGCTTATTAACACATCATTAGTTAATTGATTTAGCTAAGTGTGTTAAGGAATGTTTGTAAAATAGTGTGACAATGTAACTCACTCTAACACACGATACCAGCAGGCTTTGATAAGCATGAGGCTTCACACTTGAAGCATCGTTGCATGACCGTGTTTCGTGCCGATCAAAACAGGGATTATCTTCCGTTGTGTGGCATATGCCTCAAGCGCTGATCCGCTATATTAGCGTCAGTTAAAAGGTCTGCTATGCTACTCGACTGCATTGTCACTATTGAAACTACGGGGGCAATCACATCATTTGTTGCTGTGCTCGTTAAAGTAATCGTTGATGTCCAAACCTTCGAAAGCTTATGGCACTGAGCACGCTCAGCACAGCTTCTTGGATGAGCATTGGACAACTAGGGAGCTGTATAGATCTAATGGGAGTCAATGAGCTTCAAGCTGCCTCCACAGTGACAGGCTCTCTCCTCCGTACGGTGGAGCTCTAGTCTGTGGTGATGTGATTCCAGATGCTCCTCGTTCAGTATTGAGACTACTAGAGAGAGGAGGGTAGTTGTAGACATACATATGTGTATCTGTCACACCGGAGTTACATGGCTGCTTCCATGGAGTCAAGTACTAACACTTTCCAGTGACTACTTTTGGATGGTGTTTAACTGTACTGTGTAGTAAAAAGCTTCAAGAAGTATACATTTTCAAGTTTATTAATGTTTGATCGTATGGTCAAGATAAATAAGATTCATTAGTATTTTCATAGGTGACAAAAACAAACAAATGTTTAATTGTGACACAATTTTTTCATATTAGCAGCACAGTTGACATGGGATTGCGACAAATACACACAGCTGAAAATGTTTTGCAATCTTTGTGAATAGTAAATGCTGCTAAACAAACATGGAAGTTACAGCTCTTGATGTGTGACGAGATTTGACAGGATATAATTATCTTGCACAACTTGGGGTGCTTGCGATCAGTGGCAATTTGATCTGATTGTATCAGTGAATGATACCACAGTGTACTCTGAGAGGGGCGGCCTAGAGGGGATTGTCCGACAAGTGTTGGCCATTCGACAGCTTCAATGACAGTGACATTTCAGTAAGTATACTGTGTTTAACATGTGTTCCCCTCTTTATTGTAACAGCATGTCAGTGTATGTAACTGTCCCTTGGTCACTTGTAGCTATTATTGTCATGTACAATTGGGAGTTACAATATATATATTTATATAATGGGTATTTGTTACATAGATACCTGGTTCTTGTTCTATAGATACTGGGTATTTGTTATATAAATACTGAGTATTTGTTATGTTGAATCTGGGTATCTGTTTTACAGATACTGGGTATTTGTTATATAGGTGCTGGGTATTTGTTATATTGATACTGGGTATTTGTTATATTGATACTGGGTATTTGTTATATAGTTGCTGGGTATTTGTTATATTGATACTGGGTATTTGTTATATAGATGCTGGGTATTTGTTATATAGATGCTGGGTATTTGTTATATAGTTGCTGGGTATTTGTTATATAGTTGCTGGGTATTTGTTTTATAGATTCTGGGTATTTGTTATATAGATACCTGGTCCTTGTTATATAGATACTGGGTATTTGTTATATAGTTGCTGGGTATTTGTTATATTGATACTGGGTATTTGTTATATTGATACTGGGTATTTGTTATATAGTTGCTGGGTATTTGTTATATTGATACTGGGTATTTGTTATATAGATGCTGGGTATTTGTTATATAGATGCTGGGTATTTGTTATATAGTTGCTGGGTATTTGTTATATAGTTGCTGGGTATTTGTTTTATAGATACTGGGTATTTGTTATATAGATACCTGGTCCTTGTTATAAAGATACTGGGTATTTGTTATGTAGATACTGGGTATTTGTTATATAGATACTCAGTATTTGTTATATTGATACTGGGTATTTGTTTTATAGACACTTGGTATTCTTTATATAGATACCTGGTCCTTGTTATATAGATACTTGGTATTTGTTATATAGTTGCTGGGTATTTGTTATATTGATACTGGATATTTGTTATATTGATACTGGGTATTTGTTATATAGTTGCTGGGTATTTGTTATATTGATACTGGGTATTTGTTATATAGATGCTGGGTATTTGTTATATAGATGCTGGGTATTTGTTATATAGTTGCTGGGTATTTGTTATATAGTTGCTGGGTATTTGTTTTATAGATACTGGGTATTTGTTATATAGATACCTGGTCCTTGTTATAAAGATACTGGGTATTTGTTATGTAGATACTGGGTATTTGTTATATAGATACTCAGTATTTGTTATATTGATACTGGGTATTTGTTTTATAGACACTTGGTATTCTTTATATAGATACCTGGTCCTTGTTATATAGATACTGGGTATTTGTTATATAGATACCTGGTACTTGTTATATAGATACTTGGTATTTGTGATATGGCCTATACTTGGTATTTGTGATATATTTACTTGGTAATTTATAATATCTACTTCATATTTTGTGATATATACTTGATACATATATATATTAAGAATTGTCATGGTTCAATACTTTATTTGTGTTGTGTTTTTGACATTGTATATTTATTGTTTATTCCTTGTGTGACTGTTGATACGGGAGTGCTCAGTCAGACATGTGTGTTCTTGTCAGGGACTGGTAGCGTGTGGAAATATTCTACAACAATTAGACCATGAAATGGACTGCAGGACCAACTTAAATGTAAAACTGATCAAAATGTAGGCTTTTAAAACAAATGCTTCAAATGATGGCTTGATTATTTCTAAATTCCCCCTGTGTGTAATTACTGCCCTGTTTGAATTATCCATTCAGGGCCCTGTCAGCATTAAAGAAGGGAACTATATAAGGCCTTAGAGTTTGTTTGGACTACTGCTGTCAGTGATTTGTTTTCTTTGTATGCTTTGTACCCATATGGAACTCAGGGACAACATCTTATGTAATTTATAACACACTGATTGGGGAGAATGTCCTATGTAACACACTGTTGAGGGAGAACGTCCTATGTAACACACTGTTGAGGGAGAACGTCCTATGTAACACACTGTTGAGGGAGAACGTCCTATGTAACACACTGTTGAGGGAGAACGTCCTATGTAACATACTGTTGAGGGAGAAGTTCTTTGTAGCACACTGTTGAGGGAGAAGTTCTTTGTAACACACTCTTGAGGGAGAACGTCCTATGTAACTCACTGTTGAGGGAGAACGTCCTATGTAACACACTGTTGAGGGAAAACGTCCTATGTAACACTGTTGAGGGAGAATGTCCTATGTAACACACTGTTGAGGGAGAACGTCCTATGTAACACACTGTTGAGGGAGAACGTCCTATGTAACACACTGTTGAGGGAGAACGTCCTATGTAACACACTGTTGAGGGAGAACGTCCTATGTAACGGATTGTTGAGGGAGAATGTCCTATGTAACTCACTGTTGAGGGAGAACGTCCTATGTAACACACTGTTGAGGGAAAATGTCATATGTAACACACTGTTCAGGGAAAACGTCCTATGTAACACACTGTTCAGGGAGAAATATCCTTTATGTTCAATTTAGGTAAGAAATTGAAATGTTTGAGGTCTGGTGTTATGACTGACTCATGCATGACAGTGTGATATTGTTGTGATCCTACCTTCATTCCTGAAAAGACCACTTTGAATATGTCATCATCACGATGAAATATCATCAACATATATTTCCATGGACAGCGGACACCAGTGTATGCGTAATGTCAATTGTGTTAGGTGAGCTGTTATCACCTGTAATCTAAATAATAACATCCATTTGGAGCATATAAGGTATTCTCAGTCAATTCGAATATTAAAAATGGAAAACATTTGATGGTATTGTATTGTAGAGCTGTGAGAGATTTGTTTTATTGATGATTGAAAAACCAAAGTAAAGGAAAAAGAAACACTACAAACAAATACCAACATGTGTGCTAATATCCTTGAGTGTATGAATACATCCATGGATGTGAAGGGGATATAAATGTGAAGGGTGAAGTGTCAGAACAGTGAGTGAGTGAGGGAGTATGGGTTGACACAGCTTCTACCAATATTCCCACAACACCATCACACAGAGCTTCACACGTTGGACAGGGATTTATCTAGACAGTTCAGAGGCTGATATCTGGCACCGAGTCTGTGGCAAATGTCAGTAAAATTGCCTAAGGGGAATTAGAAGTTCACCAATTCCTGTTAATATGTTATAACTAATGTGATGTCTTGGAGGAAGACACTTGCATTTAACTGATAACAGGATCAATAAAAAGAAAGAGGCTTTACTAATTATGTTCTAATTAACATTAGTGTATTGAATGCCATTTACCTCTTAATTCAAGAAGATCAAAATTTTAAATAAAAGAGGCTTTACTAATTATGCTGTATTTTACATTATTGCATTGATGGCATTTTAAAATACCTTTGAAATGAAGATTAAAAAATTAAAAGAAAAAATCCCAATTGTTAGGCAAATAACAAAATTTTCCCAATTTGCCTTTAGTTTGAAATATTAGTCATAAATCTCTAGTGACTTCATCCTGTTGTTTTTTCAGAGCCTTCATTTTTCTGATAAACATCGAATGAAGTCAAGATCCTTGAAATCCCAGGCATTCCATAGGCTTGGCCGGGTTTCTGGGATCCTGTCTGCCTCTGATCTATATCAACAGTTTGAAGACCCTCTCATGACAGAAGTGTTACATTACAAAGATTCATGTCATGAAATTCAATGACGTTAATCAAACCTGCAACCTCACACATCATGTTTAGTATTGCAACCACTCAGCCACCGAGGCAGGTGATGAGAAGGGTGTTCAGTCTCACATATGTCTGACTTCAGTTGCGTGCATGCTGCACATGGTCTTTCTCTCCCCAGCTGTCATCAGATTTGTTTCATACCAAAGCTACTCTATTGCCTTACCATAAGGCATCCCAATGTTTCTTATTCTTTTTGGAATTCTTGCATTTAGATAAGAAAAGAAAAGATTCAGAAGTTGAAAATAAAAGTTGATCAGTTTTGGTTGAAAATGTAAAATCTCAAGGTTGGAAAATGCTTTTGGGTTTTTCCCTCACTCAAGGTTTCACATTTGTAACCCAAACCACGGAGTCATGTTTGAACCTGTCTAGAAATCCCTGTTGTACCCATGTGGAGTTCGAAGTACAAGACCATGTACTTGTCACCAGACCATGGCAGTGACAAGTGACAATATACGCCTCTATGCAGTTTCTGGGGGCACGGTTGGCCCAGTCATCTAAGGCGCCGCGATTCGCTGTGCAGAGTTGCATTCCTTGGGCACGCCAGAAACCTATGATTGTAGGTTTGAATCCCGGTTCGCCCCGATTATGTTTCTAGGTTTGCCAGCACCATACCCGTGCTCGTGGATTTCACCGAAGTGGAAAACGTCCGAGACCCGCATCACTTCGGGCTTTCCTTCCACATTAAGCTGACACGCCATGATATAACTGGAATACTGTTAAAAGCGGTGTTAAACCCAACTCACTCACTCACTATGCAGTTTCTAACAGTACCTGTGGCACAGATGGCACAGCGACCAAACACTTTCTGTACGTCGCTGCATGACTGGATGTACATTAGGGCCTGAAAAAAGCCTTGTTTATATTTTATACTTGAAAGCATCTCCTATAGTTTACTGGTTAGTCATATCCTGATACCGAAATCATGGTAATGGACGTTAACATGGTTTATTTAATGAACATGACATGTCAGTGTACTTAAGGCTAAATTATGTCATTGCCTTTCATCAATGAAACCTCATCAACATATACTAATATACTACTCAAAAGAAGTTAAAGAACACCTGATTCTTCATAATACCGTAGTTGTCCACGAGAACCATCTACAGATTTCAGCAGAGATACCAGGTCACCAGCACCGTGCAGTCATGCTAAAGTTTCTCTGATTGTTTGTAAGTCTTGGAATTGGCATGACAGACTAACGATAGTAATAATAATCAAGTGTTCTTTAACTTCTTTTGGTAGTACATCATGGAACTTCATTGTCCGAGCACAATGGCCTTATTGGTCTTATTCTGACACTCTGTCT